TAGTTCTTTACTGAGAAAATGGTTATCAAGATCACATTGTCATAATATTTAAACAGAATTCAAACTGTGAGTTTGTCTGTGGAAAACTAACTGCTGCTCTGTCTCTCTATACAGCACTGAGTCAACAGAAATCTGCTGCGTCACCCGCATGCCTCAGTAACCCCTCCCTCTCTGTTTTTAATTCTCCTCCCTCCACAGACCCCCCTCCCTCTAAGGGAGAAAACATAAATTTTCCCCCCACCTGTTGCATTTCGTCACACATATGGAATCCAATACACACTTCCGGAGTACCCCCTCCTCTCTCCGGATGCAATTCGTCGCGCTTATGGATCATATTACACACTTCCGGAGTACTTCCAGTGGGGTCAAAAGGTCAAGGCTAGGCTCATCAATCAAATTTGAGGTGTATGGTTACTTTTTTCCCACCCCTGTAGGGTGATGCATCACAAACTAACTTTAGATTTGGCAGATTTGTGCTGTAATGCACCAACACTTTGTTTTGCAGCAGTAGACTTTTTGCATCTTTAAATGCCTTTGCACATTCCATGGTCCAAAACCATTTAGCATCTTTTTCTCAACAGGTTATGCAAAGGCTGAATAATGGTGGATGGATTTTCCAGAAATTCACTGGAGTAATTTAGAAGACCCAAGAAAGACTTCAGTTCTGTGACGTTTGTTGGTTCTGGTGCACCAGAACTGCTACTACTCTAAAGGATGCAGTCCATCTTTCTCAATATGATCTCCCAGGTACTCCACACTGCTCTGAAGAAAATGGCACTTGGAAGGCTTCACTCTGATGCCTGCTTCTCCAGATGTGTGAATACTTCCTCCAACCTCTTCAATTGTTTCCTTTTAGATGAAGCAGTGATGAGAATGTCATCCAAAAAGCAGGTCACATGATCCATCCCTTGAAGGATTTGGTCCATCACAGACTGGAAAAGAGCAGGAGCACTGGAAACACCATAGCTGAGGCGACTGTACTTATAGACACCGTTGTGTGTGTTGATGACCAGATACTTCTCTGACTCTTCATCTAATTGTAGCTGCTGATAGGCATGAAAAAGGTCAGGTTTAATGAAAGATCTTCCTCCAGCTAAAGTAGCAAACAAATCTTCAGTATTAGGAAGTGGATATCTCTCCTCTTCAACACACTGGTTGACACTGACTTTGTTTTAGCCATGCTGGTTTTACAGGAAAATGAGTGAGATGCGTCTGATAATACTCGTCTGATAACACCGACACAGCTGCACCAGCAACATGGTGGTGTTCTTGTTTCCCAGTGCAACATTCACTGTGTATCCATTTTCACTGGAGGTGATGGAGTGGACTGAATATACTCCAAAAAGCTCAGCTTCATCATTCCTACTTAAGCATTCATCCTCAGTTTCCACATACTGAGTTTGCTGATTTTTTTTATTTTATTTCAACAAGCACGTGCAATGTGTCCTATTTTTGCACAAACATGACACTTTTCTCTTTTAAATTTGCACTCATGTGCTGAATGTTTTCCCCCACATCGATAGCACGGTTGCTTTGATCCTGTGTGTTTTTTAGGTCCCTTCCAGATGATTATTTTGTTATGTCCCTCTTGTCTGTTCTGTCCTTTCCATGGTTTGTTGGAAAAATTTGGAGCATTTGTCAAGGCATTTGCATGGTGAGGTTCATGGTGTCCTGAGAACTCTATCGTATTCTTCGAAGCGAGTTCATTTTATTCGTCAACACGACCCACGTGCATTGCCATGTTAGCTCCTCAATGCTACTGCTCAAATCTGTTTAGTTGCAGAAGAATACATATTTTTTCATACGTTTGAACACAGTCCCTCTGGTGGCCAAAAACATGAAGAGCAGCTAGAATCTAATATTCATAATGAACTGCTTCATTATGATTGCCCACTCTACACAACAGAATTGACAGCTTTTGTTTGATATCATGTGACAGTTCTGTTTGACATTGGGCTGATATTGTGCTTTAAACATGTATCTTTTTTGGGAGGGAGAAAAATTATGTTGTGTCTTTTTTAATAATAAATCATTTTTATGAATAAACCTTCCTTGTTTAAACATGTGCCATGGTGTGTTCTCATTTTGCTTGTGACTTGTTGATGTTTTTTTAATAATAAAAAAAATACACAATATATAACAATGTACAATACAAACTTATAATAGGTTGGGAGTATGCTGTGAGGTCCCTGCCTCCACGTGATTATGTGAACCAGTGAGCAGGTACGTTTGTCTTCGGGCATCAAAGATCACGTGACTGCTCCGACGAATCAAGTCTCGGCACATTTCCGTTGTGTTGTGTGTGCTTTTGCAGCGTTTTTCTTTTTGCAAGTGTTTTCTGCAGTCCGTTTGGCCTCTCAGGGCCACCGTACGTTTCTGACGAAGTGTCATCGTCCCTCACTAGCCAGCGGCCCCGGGAAATTTAGATCTGTGTGTGAGCTCTGCTGTACTACAGCAAGTATTTGTCCGACCAGTAGTGATGGGCAGATGAAGCTTCATGAAGCACTGAAGCTTTTCATCCAATTGGTTCACCCCAGCGCAAAGC